TTGTTCAAAATGCTTAAAATTAACAGAAGCTGGACCTTGCAAACCTGTGTGCTACAAACATGTTACTTAGTAATTCATTAGTCATATAAATGAGGATATAACGGCCTGCGCTGCGTTAAGAGGGAGCACGGAGCGGACGTCCGCTCCACGTGCAGTTTTTATATCATTTCATAGAACAGCGCTGCGCGGGAGACCTACCTCATGCAGCGTTGCTATATGATAACATGAAACAAATACGCGGGCGGATGCCCGCTCTGTGCTCCCGCTTAACGCAGCGCAGGCTCTAAAACATTTGAAACGTGAAGTAGAAACATTTTGCACCGTTATGAAAAATTCATTTTTTTATTACAATAATGATAGCTTGTAGTAACTAGAATTACCTATGTTCAAAAAGCAACTATTGCTTTTTACAGTATTGTATTAACAACTAAAGTAAATAAAAAAAGCATTTAATTGGTTCTTATGCTTCCGTGCACAGTACCTATTTATTCAATAAAACACTGTTAAACAGTTATAAAACTCATATACTTAGGTACTTTATTTTAATTGGTTGACATTTCGTTTCGTACCAATACAGATTCCTTGATCACAAATACCTGCCGTATTCGTTTGCAAACCGTTTATTAGCGTTTTATCAAATAATCTATTTGTACCTATATTATACAAACCTACATAGAACCGAAAACAACCGCTAGCGGATTTAAAGCGCGCTTTCACACATTTAATGTAAACCATCCAACTAGCTACGGAAAATATTAATTTACATATGGATAAACACACCTATTTACAATTATTTATTCACAAAAAGGATATTATCCTGTTGCACACCATCTGACTACATTCACTCAACATTAAGTGTTTATCTCTTTCTTTCCTTGTAGACTTAAAATCCATAAAGTTTTTAAACAATCTGTAACTTACACCTCGGTAAATGTTGTTTATAAATACTTAAATATCATTGTATTTTAATATCCAAAGTATGAGATTTTTGTAATACCCATAGATTAAAACAAATAGGGAAGATAGGGCACTCGCAGCTCAGAAATAATCTGCTTAAATAGAGTGTACAATCACAATTCGCTGTAGTTACAATTGGACACTCAAACACGCTGCATGTACACTCAATATAACAATATTTCGTATAGGTATTCTGTGTTATAAAGATAAAACAATGCCTTCGATGCTTTTGTAAAGAACACAAATAGTTCAAAATCAAATAACAAATGCCTCGGCAACACTTATCATTCGTAAAACTTTAAAATTATTTTTTTCTCATAAATCAAGGTTTGTCGTGAATGTTATTTGCGTAATCGCCATTTTGTTATCATCAAAAGGACAACAATAAAGCTCAGCCTTTCACACTCGGAAAAGCTGATTCGCCGTTTCGCTCGCTCTGCGTTGAAGCATACAGTTCTCTCGCTCGCTCGATTGAATGTGTTTTACACAATTGTATGTGTGTGAGAGTTGCATATGTTATTGTGTCCGATCATATTTTATTTGATGCTAGTATGAGCGTACCGTATCTCCCCTTTTTGTTTTGATCTAAGGTAATACCAAATATTTGTTTTTTACATCTCATGATGAAAAAGAAGCACTGCAATAGTTGACAGGTCTTGGGAACTCGTAATATGTGTTCTAAGTTACAAAGTTCGAAAATAAACGAGAAACTTTGTCAGAGATAATTTAATTTGCTGTTGGTTTAAGTACCTAAATCAAACGGAATTAGAAAATGTACAACAGAATTATTAGTTAACATATTAAGAATATCTCGATTCAATCAGATGATAATATATAATCTGATTGGAATTATTATACATGATCATCCTAACAACAGCAATGTGTTTGGTGGCGTGGATGAGGTAGACGAACGACGACCATTACAAGTGATTTTTTATCATGGGTCTGAACTGGAATCGTATCAGTGTGACTATGTTATGTTCTTGTAATAGAAAACTAATGTCATAAGTTCTGGTAGGACTACTGTGAAATGAACCCATTGAAGTTACCGAGAATATTCCAATACTTCAAGATGTCTTAAACTTTAATAATATAATTCGAACACTGTAACAAGGCAAACTATTCAGTTAAAATTTATAGAAAGAATCAGTTGTAGCTGCCCATATGAACCTCAATAAAGCAAAATATAAAGACGCAACATGTGGCTCTTGCACTGTGCAACAATTTTGCCGGAATTAAAAGAACATTCTCTCACCATCACGCCATCTATACGGTACGCACAACACAACATCAACTATAAAACTATGGTATAAACTAAACTTACAACTAGAGACCGAATTGGTGACTATAATAAATGGATCACTTGTAAAAGTTATTTGTAAAGATGGATACGAATTTCTTTAACTCTATAAGGGACTCTCAAGAAGACAAGGACTGTGTATAGATAGAAACAAATACCGAAAGACGCTGGCTTAATACACTAAAACAATTAATGATCCACTATTGTTAGATTTTGTACGGATCCATATCCATCCTGTAGGTTTGCCTTATATATAGCGCAATAATATACAATATTGTTCAACATCTTAGTACAACACTTAAAAGCTCCACTGGCACTGGCAGTAAATCTCATGCTGCAACTTTGTAGGGTGTACCCCCTAATCAATTTGTATAAGAATATTATGTACTATTACTTATTCTGTGGTTTTGGGCTAACGAGACTACAGTGCGATCTCACGTAGTGCGTAATCAGAACTAATCTTAGGAACATATAAAAAGTATTTCCTATTACTCATTCCGAGTTATTGTAAATTTTATTATAACAAAAATCAAAAGTTTCCGCGATTTGATACTGTGAGTATTTAGTCGGGAACAGGTGCGAGTGAATACTGAGAATGTGACCAGAGTGGTAGGGGTATCGAGCACAATAAAAGACGACGTCAGAGGGTAGACCGATATGTCTGCCAAAAACCTCTACCCGCAATTACTTCAGTTACTCTGTGATCATGGCGCTTGCAACAGTGCCGAAAAATCGAAGACTCCTAAAAAACAAGGTTCATGGTAACATTCCCGTTAATAGCTATAATAATTATATTATAACGTCCCCTTTATTAAGAGGATATATCGTATTCAGTAATCCTCATTTCATTACTTATTCACCAGAAGCGCCCTATTGTCAATGTCATCTTAGTACCAAAGATCTTGGTCTCTATATTAATTTCTTATATTGGAATACACAATAAGTATACTTGGTTTTATGATATTTAGCTAGAGTTATATCAAAGCACTTCATTGTGTAACTCTAAGCCATTAAATAGAGCCTGATGCCGATTTAAATTCAGTTAAATTTAGCGCAAGCGTGTGGCACTTAATCAGGGTTTATGACTGCATGACAATTTTAAAACAAGTAACAAATATAGATTTCTTAAAAAAAATGCTCTGAACCCTGCACAATCCGCGTCGCAATAATAAAAGACAGATAGGTATATAGAGGGACGAAAGTGTATACGAATTTACACCTGCGCGAAGCAACTTCAGAGCGGACTAGAAGTTAGTAAGTATTATTATGTACTATTAGAGATAGAAGAAATTCTTATTTAATAAAGAGTAAGCAAATAAATAGTAACACATAATATTTTGTGGCATATCTCAATCTCAACGTATTTTAAATGTACACAATAAGATTGTTCATTCATTGGGAAATTGTGACAGTTTGTTGTATACTGTACAATAGATAACAGCAGTATTATCGCACTTACATTCCTTAATTTGAGGATGGATTGTTAATGACATTTTTAATGGTACCACTATTTCCTCCTAATTATTTGTTATTATGCTCACCAACGTTAATGTAGTATGAACTTGCCTATAATTATACATTCTTATTCAATATTTACTGTTGGTCCCAGCCAAAATCTATATGTGTTCAACACATGATTAATTCATTTACATTCCTTAAATGAGGCAAATAAGGAGATTATGGATACTGACATCAATCATCATATCTATATTTTATTTCCCATTGTATTCCACAGATTAAATGATAGCACATCTTAAATAAAGCAAATAGCAGAAAGTTCAAAAAGGAGAAGTTAAGATGTGAGGCTTCAAAATTATCAATTGAATCTTCTAAAGAAAACAAGCATACTGAATGCACAACATAGACACAGAAAAACTTATTTCTGTACTTTGAATCACTTTAAATGCATAACAAACACTACTGCCACAATATAAAAAACAGGATCCAGTATATACACATTTTGCACTGTATTCTAATGAACATGCAGTTATGTTTCACAAATATTTTAAGAATCCTTACCAAGTTATTATTTCTTGTTAAATAATACTGAATCTAACTGATATAAATACATAATAATACATATTATGCATAGAGTAAAAAACATAAGGGAGTTCAGTTTGAAATGGCAGTGCATGTTCTATAGTATGATTTATGCTAAAACTTACAATATAAAAAAAATACACATTATTTCTATTCTTAACAGTGAATGTTGTTGCCCTGAGTAAAAAAGATTTTTTTATTTGAGAAAATGAGTTGGAACAGGCTTTAAAATAAAATAACAACTTTTGTATGGCTGCATTCTGAAAACTTAAATTATTTAGTATGGATATGCAGTGTGCATATCATAATTTTTCATAAAATAAGATTCATTTAGTGTACAATCTGTTATCTTTATATATTTATTCTATACATTATGAGAAAAAGAAACAAGTGTATTTACAGTATAAAAACTATTGTCAAGTTCAACTGAACCATATGAATTAGTTGTAGTAATTGAATTGAACAGGCACTTCTGTATTTTGGTGTTCTAGCATGGTCGGTCATGGTAACATTATCATATATTTATTTTACTTTTTCAATTTGGTGAAAACTGTTATATTAGTTTATTGATAAAAAGAAAGACTTTGTATTCATGTTTGCAAGATTGTTTAACCATACAATATTAAAAGTGATTTACACTAATTTTTTAGGATAATTTAAAGGACTAAATCATCAGATCAATATGTAATGGGAAACTTACATATCCGTATTTACGATTATCAATTATGTCAATAACATTATTGCTAATATGATAGCTGTGCACAATAAACATCATATCTGTACCATTTTCAGCTTAAGTAAAAAGCACAATATTCAACGAAACCTTTAGTGAGTTCTATTATGCTATTACACATCCATTTTTCTCTTGTATATGTCCATCTGACCTCTCGATTTCAGATAATATTGCATGAAACATATCAGTCACAGACTGAAAAGAAAGAACCAATGGTTAGGAGTTACGTAGAGTTTTTTTTACAAGAATTAATCTAGTAGTTTAAAGCTTACAATGGTGTAAACCTAAAATTAAATTTGGGAACCGTGTATCCTTGTCACTCTCTATACAGAATGCAAAAGGGAGATTGATGTTAAGGGCGGTTTCAGATTAGCGTATTTTAATGCATGTACAGTCGTTTTAGCATATGCGCTTACATAAGCGCTACATTACGCGCGTAAACGGGCATATTTCGGCGTGTTCGCTCGAACCGGTAGTGGTGTCTCTCAGATCTCGCGCTTATAAGAGCATAGAAGCGCGTCAACGCTCGTATGAGTTAAACGTTTGGCAAAAGGTGCGCTTATGCGCGCCTAAATGCGTTTCCAAAATGAGCTTATACGCGCATATAAAAAGCTAATTGGCCCTTAATTTAGTTTTAAGTTTAGACAATGATGCCAAAATCAACACCAGTAACAATATAACTATGATCAAGAATTATTTTGATAAAAAAGTTCCAATGCAAGGCCCTCTCAAAAACTTCCTTGTGTCTGGACTCCACTTACCACCAGGTGGGGTGGTGGGTCATTTGATCGCACCTTCTTATACATAAAATTTAAAACTACAAACTATAAAAAAAATGTCATGGGTCTATTAAACTTCTACTATCCAAAAGATAGTCTTTATTAGTAGCCAGGAAAATTTCAATATAGCAGGTCTCATGCAATTTGTTTGTGGTATGTAAATATGAATAAAAATAAGGTTTAATTTTATTTTAAACCCTTTTTTTTAAACTATGTCATTATTACAGCGCTATTAAATTTATTGGATAATAGAGGCAATAAGAAAGTGTAAAAGGAAAAATCTAAAATTCCAGAGCTTTTTATTTCATGTACTATGAAATTAAGAAAACTTACTCATTATTAATATTGTTAGAGTAAGGTTTTAGGTCCTACAAAATGTAAAAAGATTTAATATTTGGCCTAAGAAGTTTAGCAAATTTATCATGTAATAGAGGCATATATACCAAAACTGCCAATCTTTAATAGATTTTACTTCATAACCTTTAGTATGTATAATTCACAAATTTGTAAAACTTCAAAAAATTGTGTTTAGGAGTATACACCCTTATTTCATGAGACCAGCAATATGGGTATCGTTGTAGTTCAGATTCAACTTTCCCACCAAATGTCAGCAAAAACTGAGTAAGTAATAGGATTCAGTCAGAACCATTCAGGTTCAAAATCTAATAAACAAATTACATTTCATATTTGTATGCAATTTACCTCATTACGCTTTGCGCTAGTTTCAACAAATGCAGCCTTCCATTTTTCAGCGAGCCTCTTTCCTTCCTCTGTACTTATTTTTCTCTCCAAATGGAGATCAGTTTTATTACCAACTAAAACTATTGGTACACTGTAAACGGCAAATTAAAAAGTAATTAGATAAAAATCATTAATAAAATTTATAAAATTAGGGAAAACGCAATACTTACTGTATTTTTCCAACCATGTCTAATAATTTGTCATAAATTATTTGTACTATCTGAAAACTTTTGCTAGATGTGATGGAGTAAACTAACACATAACCATGAAAATCCATACTATATTGTAGGGGGAAAATGCTGTACTCATCTTGACCAGCTGTATCTACTAATTTCACTTCATACTCTGTTGAGTTCAGGCGAATAAATTTTGTGAATGCTGAAAACAGGATTAGGTAAACATTGTAAATTACCATGAGATTTTCATAATTAAACAAAATCGTAACTAGTTGTATTACAATGTGCATCACAGAACATTTATTTATTTATTAATAACTCACTGTTTTCTATTGTTGGATCGTATGAATCTACGAATTGACCCTCAACAAATTGTATGATTAGAGATGATTTTCCTGAAATGAATTTTACGCGCTAATAATTAACAATGATATGAAAAAATAAGACGTAGATTATAATATTATTGTTTTTATTTACCGACTGATCTGTACCCCATCATAGCAATTTTTCTTTGTTTCGATGGCATTTTTATTTCCAAAACCACTTTCTTACAATTTTCAAAATACAAACACAATTTTTTTGCAATTGCGATAAAAATTCATCGTAAATTTATCTTGACGATGAATGAAACACGAATGACATTTCTTTTTGTCCACAGATGCTACAAGAGGGCAGAGCTACGTTCAAAAACCTGCGCTAGGTGCAACAAACGACAAATAATTTGACATGAGCTTCATACATTTTATGTCAAAATTGAAAGAAACGTCGTTTAAAAAGTTGCACTGTGAGCGTAGCTATTTAACATAGCCTTGAAGAATAAATCCACAGACAACAGAGATGGTTAAAGGAGCTCATTCACGATCCTACATTGCAGTCCACCGTGCAAGACTTGAATTCTGCTTGATTTAGCCGGACGCTGCAGGCTGCGACAATGTTTACCCTCCTCGTAGAGCGGTGGATTGCTGTGAGTGCCGAAGGGCCCCTTTATGGAACAAGCATGAAATGAGCTCAGTAAAGATATAACCATAGACAGGAATAAGAGCGGCAATATGGACGTACCTTAGGGTACGGCCACAGTGCACGCTGGTTCAGACTCAGAAAAGAAGCGCGAAAAATAAACAGTGTAGTTTAAGCAGGGTGGCTATAGTGGCAGCAGGCAACTGGTTGCCCGCGCAGGGTTCGGCGTCAGAGACCTTATCGGAATTTTTAGGTCATTCTTATTTCAGATTCTGAATTCACCAGCGTCGCTCGGACCGCAGGTAAGGTTGCCAAAGCTACTAAAAAATATAGTATCCTACTATATTAGGGGATCAAATACAATATTTCTAAAAAAAATATAGTAGTATATTGTGCTTAGAGCATATTTTTGACTGTAAAAGCTTTCTTAAAAATTGTTATTATAATATTAGTAAGGCAAAGAGCAGTAAAAACATATTGATATCAAAAATAAATAAAATATTTTAACCACATAATGGTGCCAATTCTGGCGTGATTCTCTAAACTTAAAACTAAATTTAACATCAGTCTCTCTTTTTCATTCTGTATAGAGAATGACAAGGATATACTGCTGCCAAATCTAAGTTTAGGTTTAGAAAATCATGCTAGAATCGACACCACTGTATTTTATCCCTTTTTTATTTATGTCAGCTAAAATATTTTTAGAAGTAACGCTTCGAAAATTGCTAACCTAAATTGCTAAAGTTGGTAACAACTGCAAGTGGTAGTTATTTAAGTAACCTTTTTCTTGGTTGTGTTATAAACAAACATTTAGTGCCTTGCTTCTTTTCTTGTTTGTGATCTTCTCTTGTTTCTTGATTTATATTTTAGAATAAACATAATGAATATAGAAGTGCTTATCGCGAAAGATTTTCTTAACCCTGCTGTATGGGATAAAAGGGACAAGAACCACTCAAATAGGAATATCATTGCTAGGTGGTGTTAAAACAATGCTGGAGAAATGGGTGTTGAAGGTAAAGAAATACATTTTCTTGTAGTCTTAATTTGTATTAAAAATAAGACTACAAGAAAACATTAATTAGTATTGCGTCGTAATAATTGTTACAGAATGTATAGCATAAAATGTATACATAAATTTAACAACCGGCAACACATACTTACAAATCTTTTTTAGATACCCAATCATTACATGAAATGATTCCCGTGTTTAAAAAAAATATTTTTAGCTTTAAATGGTTACGATTGGTTATGTATTTTACTCTTAAATTATTATCCAATATAATCTAAAAAAAAGAACTTTTCAATAGTGAGAAGTTTCTTTATTGTTGTAATAAACTCAATGTTACATTTATATACATTTAAATAATCAATTATTATAAAACAGATGTCTGAATTAAAGCACGAAATTGTGAATCACTATCCTTGACAATTAAAGTGATAATAATAATAATGAAGGAATAAAATAAAAAAAATACACAAAAGAAAATGAATTATCGCATCCGCGTCTTGTATTATCTGCCTCCACTGCGGCCATCACCTGCTTTCCTCCAGCTGACATCTCATTTTCTGAGTCTGAATCTGATTCTGAACCAACGTGCACTGTGGCCATACCCTTAGAGCATATATCAATGGCTTAGAGCATATACCACTGGAGATGCCATACCGTCCACTCACTGAACAAAAATTTTCACCATTTTTGGTGCGGGACGAGGTACATACTTATAGCACACTAATGAAAATATGTAAAACTCCCACAAACACGAGCGTGTTGTTGCTATTTAAATTAAGGTATTATTCATTGAGATTCACGGTTGACCTTGCATTACAGTATAATATGCCTGAGCGCTGGGTGCTCTCCGTTTTCTATCTCGAAAAGGGTTGTAAAGCATGTAGTGTCAGAAAAAAATTAAAGACAAAAGTTGTGGCAATTATTTTCATCTTTCATTTTCATAATAGCTGTTGATGTGATTGGAACCAAAGAAACTGAGATAATTGCAAAAAACCAATATGCGTGAAATTTGACCTCCAATAACTTACGACGCAGACATGAGATATGAAACTTTTGAGACAACTAAGAACGCCAAAATGAAGCTGTACACGAGTTTCTAGCTTATTATCTCATTATTCCGAGGAGAAAACCCTAAAGTGACTGGACTTTAATAGATGATCTTTATTTTGGCTCGAAAAATCCCTTCTTCATCCCTAGCATCTCTTATCACACTATTTGACAATTGGGCCGAAATTAAGAAATTCACGGCCGTAACACATAAAAAAAAAAGAAAAAAAAGTTTTTGGCGGGATTTCATCGAGTGCGGTTGGCGTCTTATTTTAATTACTCTTAAATTTGTTCATAGTGGATATTGTGAAATAAAATTGGTGTGATTTTGTGTTACAACCGTCTGCGCAACTGAAGAATTAGTGGAATCTTTAAAAAATACGCTATTCCGGTCAAGTGGACGTGAGAATTTTATTGTAGTATTGACTACCTCACAGAAGCTTATTGAAAAAGCCAACTCGATATAATTCGTGCCAAACACTCTGCGAAGCATTAGAATGCGTTACACCCACATTCTTAAGTTAAAAAAATAAAAAAAAGTAAGATTAACCTGTCAAAACGGGAAGTGAAATTTGAGATATGCTGATTACGTCATCTATAAACGAAATGGCGGCTTCAATCAAAATGGCTTCCGCGCGACAAAAAAAAATATATTACGCTGTAACCAAATCATTAATTATCATTGCGTGAACGAGAATTTACTAATTGATAAATTTTCTTTCAGTCGGGTAAAAAAATTATGGCAATTATCAATACGTTATATTTTTTTGAGATGCCCAAAGTTTACACTACTTTACGCACTTTACGATGTAAAATAAACGAAAAAACGGGCGGATGCCGAGAATCATATATCTAAACTGCCCACTTATGTAAACAAACTAATGAAAGACCCCATTGTTGATAACAAAAACAGCACTTGAAACCAGAGTCCGACCCGCCCTACGAACAAAAAACAAAGTAGGGATGTATCTTGCCGTGCCTTCACTTTTATAGTTTTATCGATATTTGTTCTGTTATTTATAAATAAAAACACATTTGGTACTGTTTTTAATTGATTTTTATTTACAGTGTAATTATTCCTATTATCAACAAGGATATGGATAAATATAGCTAAAAATAAAACTACCATACACAGTGGAAAAAAATTGACTTCACGTACTTTAGGTTTTTTTTATTGGTAATAAACCCGAAACCGTAGATATCAATAGAAATAATAAAGTTTGTTCTCTCATTCTTGAGTTCTTTTTATTGATACAATACTCAAACGAACTTTGAATATATTGCTAAATTGAAAGTATCTTCTGCTGCATCACTCATTTGCTGCTCCTCACCCTCTTTATCTTTATAGAGCAGGAATAAAAAATCGGCGGTTGGGTCCTGGTCTTAGCGCCACGAAGACATACTATAAAATCCAAAAAAAAGAAAACCACTATATTTACTTAGCCATTATCACCATATTTACTGCATGAATTTATTTTATTTTGTTATATGTAAAACTACCATTCTAAAACAGTAACAATAAATTAGCTAAACATAAACTCGCCCTACAATGCCACCACCACAATTTTAGTCGATCTATCGACAATTCATTATTTTTATCTCGTGACTATCGATACGTACCTATCAATACGCCTACGAAAAGAGGTTCAAATCGACTGCAAGTAGGTTACGCCCGTGACGCCGTACATATAAGAGTCAAAATGGCTTGCTAGGAATTGACAGACGATACCCCATTTTTGATCTTTATACACAGAAATTCCCTTATCTTTATGAGGAGTTTCTAACAATAATTTGTTATCAGCGATGTAAAAACTAACTGTAAACGAGTTTCAATTGCTTATTGTAAACACTTATTTATATTACCGAAACTCAATCATCACAAATAACTTTGAAACAACCTAAGAAATTTTGTCAGTATTGAACATGAAAATCATTTTTATTACGAAGTATTTTATACAACCAATTATCTATAAAGGTATATTGTAAGCAGAACAACACACTTTATAACACTTTCCCTATAAAATTAAGCATTTACCATGAAAAAAAAGATAAATTACATACACGTAACCTCAATTCGACCAAAAAAATTCCACTTTTTCAACGACGCAAAAAAAAAAAAACTACACAGAGTAGGTGAAAACTTTACGGCTCTAAAGATAGGTCATTTCGCCAAGTTAATCTATGGTAAAACTTCTTCATACAAAAGTAGTCTCTAACCTTCACAAAAAATGGCTTATAGTCCCGTGGGGAGCGCGGCCCATATGGGCCGTGCGGTGTTTGACCGTGCAATGTTTTTTCCCGCGCGGCCCTTATGGGCCGTGTGGTGTTAAGTGAGTTAATACAAAAATAAGACGATGGCTGCATGGCTATGCCTTTGCCTTTCTCAATAGAGAAGAATTGAACTAAAAAAAAAAAGAAAAAAAAAATGACATTGACACTCCCATTATTTCAAAAAGGTAACTTTGTTTGGTAAATTCTTAAAATCGTAAAGTATTGATAAATTGTTTTGTTACAATTATTATTTGAAGTAGTGGTAGGCACTTCATTGAAAACCGTAAGATTTTTTAATTTATCTAAACTATGCCATTGCAATTTTATTTTTAGATATGACTTCAGATGCTTAGTGACTAAGAATCATAGCAATTACGTGCTTTCGAATTGAAACAAAACAATGTCTTCAAACATCCCTGACTGCCCTCCAAGTCTGAAATCAATCCAACATTATTTAAAAACTGCATCTGAACACGATGCTAGAGATCCCGTTGTGGCTTACTGGTGTAGGCTACATGCATTACAAATCGGATTAAAAATTACGACCAAGAAAACACCCGAAGAAACTAAAGTGTTAATGGGTATGAATATTGTTTGATGTATATACAAAAACAGAATTTCAAGTTGTTACTGATGTGGAACTTTCATTTACAGCAATTATGGATTGGTTGGAAGAAGCTAAAAAGATTCATAAGGATAATGAAGCCGTAAGCAATGAAGTAGCTGCACAAGCACACCTTGAAAACTATGCGTTAAAATTGTTTTTATATGCTGATAAACAAGACAGAGAAGAAAATTTTGGAAAGTAAGCTATTTATACATAATGAAATAGTTTTGATAATAGTTTAAAAAGATGATTTAATCAAATCTAGTATAAATAGGTACCTAGTTTAAGTAATAAAGAGGTAACATGAAATATAACGAAAATTATATTATTACAGAAATGTAGTAAAGGCCTTTTATACAGCTGGATTGATTTATGATGTACTTTGCACATTTGGAGAACTTACTGAAGAAGCAGCCCAAAATAGAAAGTATGCTAAGTGGAAAGCTGCTTATATTCATAATTGCCTCAAAAATGGTGAAACTCCAGTCCCAGGTATGTTTTTATTACTAATTTCCAAATTTGTATTCTCTTCATTATACCTACATTTATTTTGTGTCAATTTTTTTGTCTAAAGGTCCCATGCCAGTTGAAGGGGAAAATAATACTGAAAACTCTGGAATGGACGATCAGCCTGCTGCAGATAGCACTCCTCAAGACCCCGGATTTACTGCTGTGAATCCATCTACACCACCTACTGTTCCCACTAGTTTTACAAGTTCTCTCCCAGATCCTAACGCAGCATTGAGGGCAGCCTCACAACTACCACCAGTGCCATACACTCCAGATCTAAACCCCGGAGGTTTTGTACCATATGATCCATCACAGCAACCGCCATCCAATCCCACACCATTATATGGTGATAGTTCATCAACTATTGCTCAGCTTAATCCAGATCAGATCGCAAAGGCCCAAAAGTATTGTAAGTGGGCTAGCAGTGCATTGAATTATGATGATATTAAAACTGCAATCAACAATTTAAAAAATGCCTTGGAGCTACTGCAAACTGGACGTGATCCTGCTTAATTCACTTGTTTATTAAAAATACAATAAATTGCACTTGCACAAAGTTAGTAATACCAAGGATTATTTCAGAGACACTGGTTGTATGCCACATGCCCTGGTTGTAACATTCTTTAACAATGATCCATAAGCATAATTTGCAAGTGTAAATGTAAACTGTTAGTTAAATTTTGCTGTTAGTCACAGACATGGAATTAAGCTCATAAAAATGTACAACAATAATAATTATTTGGTTAAAAAAAAAAAAATCAAAAATATCAATAAGAAATGATGAGAATTTTATAACTGGAGGACTGGCATTCCCCATGAACTTGAAGGCTTTATACTTCAATAGCCCTTATTCTCAGAATCAATGCCCATGCATGACTTTTCATAAGCACAACTAGCATCATGCAACCAGCAATCTGCTATGTGCGCTCTGAAGTAAGCCTATAGAATTACTTCTGTTTGCAGTTAGAGCATTTGTAGCCTGGCTTAATATCATTAACTTAAAAAAGAACTTGGTCAAGCAATGGCCTCAAAGTTAGTTACTGGGTAGTAAGTTCTTTGTGTTTTCTGCCTGTGAAACATGATTTCTGATTATTTACTGCACTGTTGAGAATTATAACTTTTACACATAGTCACCCCTAGATTATCCTTAAACAGTGATAAGTTCAAAATAATTTCTGTGTACTTATATTATATTGGCTATAAATTTGAAATTTAAATATCTTTATCCTGTTTTTAAGCAAATATTTATAGTGTAGTTTTTTTTAAGGTCTACTATGGTGGTTGGCATCTATGTTGGTGATATATAAACAGTCACCAAAATAATATCTTTGAAAAAATCTGATAATTCTGATCTTTGCAGAAATATGTATATTATGTATAAAAATAATTTTTGATATGTAATGCCCAATAAAAATGTGAATGTATAGAATAACCATGTGGATGTACAGTTGTTTTATAAATGCTTGTTATGATCTTTTCATAAAAATAAACTATATTTTGTAATGATTATTAAGTACTTTATTAGTATTTAATTGTCCCACACCTTGAGTACCTAACCACGAAGTTTTACGTGATCATCTTACGGAGCTCCGTAGATCGTTCAATGTACCTTTTGGACAGGTTTCGGGCACGATTTTGTTCGTGTTGGTGTATTTAATATCGTTGGGAATAAGTTGAAATCGTATCCCCCATATAGGATATAGAATTACGGGAGCGGTGGGTGGGCAGTAGGCCGCGCAATTGCATTTAGCCCGAGATACCCCGGGCGATCCCTACCGTGGATCCTCGGCTAGGCCGGGTTGCTGTCAGGTGCGGAAAGGCGGCGAAAGCCCTCAACGGGCATCTCGCGGTTTCGCACTTAACTAAGCATAGAGAGTATTCGCAGGATTTTTTTTTTGCGGACTGTACCTATTCCGCGCGGAATGCTTAATGACTTCTTCATTTCGCACCCGTGAGACTTGCGAGGGGCTAGGTGTGAGGTCCGTTCGCTGGTGTGGCCCTTAAATGTCCTGTAAATAGAGGTTTTGCCTGCGTAATAATAAAAAAAGCGGCCAAGTGCGAGTCGGACTCGCCCATGAAGAGTTCCGTGGCAGCAAGTAACACAATATACAAGTTCTTGTAGTTCGTCGTAACTTTCATCGATGATTTAATAATAGTGTATTTTTTTAAAGATATTTTGCGGTTTACGATTTAGGACGTATTAAAAAAACCGGCCAAATGCGAGTCGGACTCGCGCACCGAGGGTTCCGTACAAACCTGTACCTAGGTATATTTTAATAATTACTTAAAAATATTTTTTATTATATGATGTAACTAAAAATTGACGGTTTTCGCAATTTTTCCTTTTTCGTACTTTAAGACGTACTTCGTACCAAATTTCAAGATTCTAAGTTCACGGGAAGTACCCTCTAGGCTCAGGCCAAATAAAAAGCCTGTAGGTTTTGTTTCCCGTGCGAGTTTGGAAAATTTGCGGCACAAACGACTGTATCTTTTGATTGCTTTGGCTTAGAAGTTTGATTTTTTCACAGCTCCAAGGGACAGTAGATCTGAGTATTGATATGAATTTCAGTTTGATACCTCAACGCGTTCCTGAGAAAAACGGTCTTGACAGATGGATGGACGGACGGACAAGAAAGTGATCCTATAAGGGTTCCGTTTTTCCCTTTTGAGGTACGGAACCCTAAAAATATAAAAAAACAATAAAATTTGTAATACTTACAACTGAAACTTGAATTATTTTTTTGCATTAAACCCAGACCGTTTTTCTCAAACTGAAATTTCATATCTACTACTCATGTCTAATGTCCCCTGGAGCTGTGAAAAAATCAAACTTCTAAGCCAACGCAATCAAAAGATACAGCCGTTTATGCTGCAAATTTTCGAAACTCGCACGGGAATCAAAACTTCCCGTGAACATAGAACTGAATTGAATTTGGTACGAAGTAACGTCTTATAGTACAGATAAAGAAAGAATTGCAAAAAACTTTAATTTTTAGTAACATCATATAATAAAAAATATTTTTGAAAGTTTTAAAGTTAGTACTTCTTTTCTCATGAACGCGTAGAGGTATTAAATTGAGTTTGTACGGAACCCTCGGTGTGCGAGTCCGACTCGCCCTTGGTCGGTTTTTGTATGAAAATCTTAATGCGGTTCAAAGAATACAGCTACTTACCAAGTTTCAACAGTATAGTTCTTATAGTTTCGGAAAAAGTGACTGTGACGGACAGACAGACATGACGATTCCATAAGGGTTCTGTTTTTTGCCGTTTGGCTACGGAACCCTAAAAAGGTCGCCAGACTACTTATTTTCTGATGGACAAAATATGGATAGTCAAGTAGTGTTTAAAAAATGAATGTAGGCTGTAGGTAGATTTTCAGATATCGTACCCCTAGCACGAACCATTATCGAATTCTACATTATTTATTATTTTTTTTTTTGTAATAATTTGCAAACCTAAATGTCAAATCCATCTCTATTAGAAAACGAAGATACATATGAACACCTTTACACCTACATTACTTCTACTTTTATGAACTTAAGAAGAGAAACTTAGAATCAATGAGACTGTTACTAATGTATAGGCTGTATGGACTTGTCCAAAGCCGTTAAATTTCTAAATAAAAAAAAAATATGGAAACTTGAACAGCAGCGGCACAAAGTACTTAACAAGAACTAAAAATCAGTACACATTTGACAATGACATTTCGGACTCGCAAACGATACGAATTCGATATTGGTTCGTGCTAGGGGTACAATAGTACAGCAGGCCAATTATGCACGCTAATTGTGATATTGTTTTGATGTCAATTCCACATTACGTATTATACTCTGCGAAAAATGCGATATCAAAATGACATCAACTTATGCGGATTATGATAAACTTTTTAAAATGATATCAACTTAAATGCGTATTACGTTCAACGGTTTGACTTAAAACAGTATCGCATAAATGTCAAAAATGTGATACAGGATATTGATATGATCTTGATGTGACATAGGAATGTTTCATAATAGTCCAGTTTTCATTGACTGGACTTAGCAGCTTAAGTTTGCCATTTTAATAATAATAATAATTCATTTATTTCAGATAACTGTGATCCATATTTTTTAGTAGACTAACACCCATATTCTTAGTCGCGTCCTCAAACGTTCCTCGACTCTAACTCATTCGAGGGCTCCTTAAGGAGTTCCTCCAAATAACCACGAAAATGATATTCTAGTAGGTATCTTGAACAAACTTGAGAATTCCTCCACTGAGAGTACAAACAAAGGTATAAAGCATAAAAGCATAGACATATTATGTGTATAAAGTAAAATATCACACAACAAATATAGGTAAATACCTACTTGAAATAATCCTGTCACGTAAAACTTCAAAGCCACCAGTAACTGTATTAGACGCGGTACAGATAGTCCTCTGTTATTACAATTTAGTGTAATGCTTAGCAGAGGAAATATTACTTGTATGAATGTATCTCTCTAAACTGAAATCTTTTTTTTAACGAATCATTGTCGTAAACCTCTAAAGGATTTGCGGCGTCACGTAAATACCGTCGCGCCGGATTATATGGTTCATCATCGTATACGTAATCTATAAAATCCACAAATTCGTCAATAATCTCAAAATTCAAAATCTCAAAAAACAACTTGAAAGCACCTTAAGCACCACTCGAGGAAGCCTTAAGGTTCGCCGAGAGCCACCTTGAGTTTGACAGTTTATTCCTCGACTCGACCTCCACTCGAGTGAGGAATATCTCAAGTGAAGAATATTTTTGTTGTCTAAGCATACGAATTTCCTCGAATGAGGTTGAGTCGAGTGGAAAAAATCTCGAGGAAACGACTAAGAATATGGGTGTTATTCTATGTTAGTAGTATATGTTTTAGAAATAATAGATTAGGACAGTACAACATGATTTTTTTATGTCTTCATCACCCTCACACAATGCTTGATAAAGCAACTATCCATTTTGTTGGCAAGAGTCATTAGGATGGTGTTTGAGCTTGCCCGTATTCTGCTCAGCAATGAAGCTATTTTTTTGCGCATGCATGCGTGAAAACCGTCAGTGCGCTCCTCGGCAAACATACCAGAGGCACTACAGTGATCTCTTAGAATAACTGCACCATAGGCTTCCCGTGTAAAACGCCTGTCAGTATGTTTTAAACAGAGTAATTTTAACTTCTTTCGAACAACGGAAAAACCTACGGGCCAGCATATTCGCCCTTACAGTCAACGCTCTCCGCTCCCTTTCTATATCTAATTCGTCATTTAAGTTATCACAAATCACATGACTAAGATATTTAAAACTGTTGACTCTCCTCAGAGACACTCCATTTAACATTATAGGTGGAATATGCTCTAACTTTATCCCCTTGGGTGTGAAAATCATCATTTCACTTTTTTTAACGTTATATTGCAAACCATGATCTTTAGCAAAATTTTCACATATCTCCAAAAGTTTCCTCAATGCACTGACAGATGGTGCCAGCAGCACCATGTCATCAGCGTAGCTAATATTGTTAATAGAAGTACCATCGATATAGCATCCTAATGGCTGCCTACTGAGACCATCTATCAGCTCATCTACATACAGATTAAACAGGTGAGGAGAGGATACGCCTCCCTGTCTTACGCCACACTTCAACCCATATGCATCAGAGAGCGACCCAGACCATTTTACATGGTTTATTTGATTCCGATACCAATACTCAAAAACAGAAACTATTTCCTTAGGTAAACTAGTGTCGCGAAGCTTCCGCCACAGCATATTGTAACATACTGTGTCAAAAGCTCGCGACAAGTCGAGGAAACAGGCATAGACCGGAGTTCTTCTATCCACGTAGTACCTGTATGTTTAAAGCTAAGAATAGCAGTCTCAGTGGACAAGCCTGGTTTGAACCCAAATTGACCATCGTGAAAATGTAAATGAGTGGTTAAGTGTTTATCCAGAACTCGGTCAAATACCTTAGCTATTATTGTAGCCAGAGGGATTGGTCTATAATTACACTTATCGGAAATATCACCCGTTCTGTTTTTTACTACTGGCATGGTCTTCAAAAAGTCCTGAGGAAGGTATGAGTGACTAATGCACAGTGAATAGAACATTGACAAGACTCTAGCTAAGTGAGGGCCCGCGTTCTGTAGGTGCTCGATGCTAAGACCATCATGACCCGGGGATTTACCTCTGTTCATGCCACGTATAACATCTGTAACTTCCTTTGCAGAAACCATAATATTACAATCCCCACCCTGACAGCTTCCATCATCGACCACCTGAGCGGAACGTTCAAGTGAGGGTTCTACACAAAAATGCTTCACAAACATGTCCGCAATTCCCTTGGCGTCTGAAATGCCCTCAACACTGACAGGGAGACTAGACTTCAGGTTGAGTCCTCGAACGGCTTTCCAAAACTGTGGAAATTATATTTATATTATATTATAAT